CTCAACCATTCTGTGATTCTGTGATTAACATAAAATGTCTTCTAAAATCTGAATTGTGCAGTGTATTGGTTCTTACACTAGTTCTAGAAGTCAGTACATTTCAGGAAGGGTAGTATGTAAACATAGTAGTTATTAATATTTGAAAGTTCAAGAAGTCTTTCAAAACCAGTATTTTATTAAAATAAATGTTGTCTAAAGTGGCTGTCAACTTTTACCATTTTTTTGAGCATTGCTGTAGAGATATGGGCTATGAAGAGGTACTCATAGTGTACAAATATTGTACCTATTGTACCTACTGTCAACAGAAGTACTGTTATCCACTGAAGGAAAAAAACAAACAAACAAACCAAAACCACAGAAACTTAATTACCTTTGTTCCAGTCTCACACACAAGTTTTATATATAAGAATAATCTACAGAATCATAGAACTATTCTGGAATAATCTACAGAATCATAGAACTATTCTGGACCTCTGGAGTTTATCTAGTCTAACCTCCTGCTCAAAGCAGTGCCAACCTGAAAGTTCAGTCACATGACTCAGGACTTTTTCCGGATGAACTCTGAATCCCTCTGAAGACAAAGATCCCGTAACTTCACTGAACCACCAGCTTTACTATTCTCATTAAAAAGATTTTATTTTTCCCTTAGACCCAATTGAAATTTCCCTTATTGCAACATGTGACTCTTGCCTCTAGTCCTTCCTTAAAGATCATCCAGTTCCAACCCCCCTGCCATGAACAGGGACACCTTCCACTAGACCAGGTTGCTCAAAGCCTCATCTAACCTGTCCTTAAACACTTCCAGGGAGGGGGCAGCCACAACTTCTCTGGGCAACCGGTTCCAACCTGTTCTATGCAGGCCTTCATTGCTGCCAGGGCACACTGCTGACTCAGGTGTGCAAATTACAGAATCACAGTATCACATAGGTTGGAAAGCAGCTCTTGAGATTATCTCATGAAACCTTCCCTTCTGAAGCAGGGTTAGCTAAAGCAAGTTGTCCAGGAACATGTCTGGTCAAGTTTTGAGTATCTCCAAGGATGGAGACTCCACAACCTCTCCAGGTAACCTGTGCCCAGAGTCAGTCACCCTCAAAGCAAAAAAGTGTTTCCTGATGTTCAGATGAAATTTCATGCATTTTGATTTGCATCCATTGCCTCCTGCTCTGTCACTAAGCACTACTTAACAAGAGTCTTGTCTCCTTTGTCTTCATTCCCTCCTATCAGGTATTTATACCTGATATTTACTCTCACCTTCAGTACGGTGTTCAGTTTTGGGCACCTCACTTACAAGAAGGACATGGAGGTGCTAGAGCGTGTCCAGAGAAGGGAACGGAGCTGGGGAAGGGTCTGGAGCACAAGTGTGATGAGTTCATGGCTGAGGGAACTGGGGGTGTTGAGCCTGGAGAAGAGGAGGCTGAGGGGAGACCTTCTGGCTCTGTCCAACTCCCTGAAAGGAGGGTGGAGAGAGGTGGGGGTGAGTCTGTTCAACCAAGGAACAAGTGACAGGATGAGAGGAAATGGCCTCAAGTTGTGCCAAGGGAAGTGTGGATTGGATGTGAGGAAGAATTTCTTTGCTGAAAGGGTTCTGAGGCATTGGAAGGGGTTGCCCAGGGCAGTGGTGGAGTCCCTGTCCCTGGAGGGATTGAAGAGTCATATAGAGGTAGTGCTTAGAGACATAGTTTAGTCATGGTTTAGAGGACTTGTCAGTGTGAGGTTAACGAGTTGGACTTGATGATCTTAAAGGTCTTTTCCAATCGAGGCGATTCTGTGATTAATGTACTTATAATTATAAATTGCCTGCTGGAGAGTTACTCCTTCCCAGGTGCAGGAGGTTGTATTTTCACTTATGTGAAGCTCCAGCTGACCTACTCCTCCACTTGTCAACTCATATATACATGCAAATGATTTGCAAGGTCTGTAGCACTAAGTCAATTTCTTGCAGGTTGCTTTCACAATCTTGCTATTTGAAGAACTTCACTCAGCTAAGTTAGATCAAAGGGACTTCATGTATAATGCAGTAAAAGTGATTTTCCAGACTTTTATGACTTAAAATCAGACAGAAGATTTAGAAGCCAGTTCAAATAGTCCACATGACTATATCATAGAGTATCTGCAGGCAGAATTTGAGGCAAAAATGGACAAGAGAAAGTCCAATCTGTCATTCTCAGGTAATTCAAAATTGGGCTTTTGCTAGGAACCTAGGTTATCATTGTTCTTGGCAGACATTACTGCATGTTGTTTAGCTTTTGTTCCTATAGAGTGGCCTTAGCTAATAAACTATTACATGAAATTAATTATCATGTAAGTCAGTGGAGATTGCCCCAGGATAGCTGTTCTCTTCAGTGGCATAACAGTAATGATCATTGATAAATATATTTTCAGGTGTTCCTAAAACATGACAGGATTGTGTCTTAGCTAGCATTGTAGCAAAGTGAAGCCCACTTGCCAGATAAAACAAGAAAAGGAGGAATCTTTGTAAAAACTATGTTTACAAATGAGAATAGGAAAAACAACCATACCAAATATATGCTTATCAATTATAACTTCAGAATGTGCTAACAAATACCATACTCTAAGAATATTATCTAAGTAATATGATTATTACACTAAACTCTTATTACAAAACACAAAGTTTGCCAGGTCTAATCTTAATATGGATTAATGAATTGCATTAGTATGCTATTTTTTTGTGGGTTTAGAAGATCTTTCTAAGACCTTTACAACACAATAATTACTAAATAATCATGAGTTAAATTTACAGTAGTTAATTAGTACAGCAATGGGTTATGAAATATTTGATTTCATGCAAAGATAGCATGACAAAATATTGCAATGGCTTCTGTCTTAAGAGCTTAAACTGAAAAAAACTTTCAAAAGTAAGTGAAAAGTCTACTAAAAAGATACTATTTTTTGCAAGGGACTCTTTCTTATTTGTAGAAAGTTAGATGCAGGTTTAAGACCCCTCTATGCTGTTCATCAATTCAAATTTGATAGCATGATTTCCAAATAGTGCTGTTACCTCATGCTGTATTTTGCATGAAGCTCACCTGGTCCACTGCAGACTTTTACAGTATAGATCACTAAAACTGAACTAGTAGAAGAAACTCGTTTTCATTTGAGTCACCAGTGAAAATATAGGCTCTTTTAAGATGTGATTCTTCTGTTCTATTTTAGACATTGACTTCAGGGTGAGATGAATCACAACCTAGAAATGCTTAGATTGTTCTTCACTATTAGGAGACTCTAAGATGACTAGCTTAGGGGTTGATATCTGCATTTTAGTCATAAAGTTACATGAGATTATTCCTACTCCTTTTGTCTGCAATCTTATTTAGACTGTAAATTCTTTAGGCACTGCCAACCCCCATGACTCCTCATCACTATAACAGTAAAAATAACAATCGCTTCCAAAATCATATTACTAGTCTAGTATAAGAAATATCCAAAACTTGCTCTAAAAACTGGCCCACTCCCCCTCTTTTTAATTTTGAATTAAAGAAAAAGGCTTTGGAAAAAAGGTTATTGCTACCATCTGGTCACATTTCATGAATTTTAGACCATCTGGTTTTGGCAAAGGCTGCCAGAGCTTAGATTCCAGTGCTGAGATCATGAAAGCTTCAGAATTTTATCCCAAATTGTTCCAGCTAAATTGTGTTTTTGAGGCATCAGCAGGCTTCACGACTGACAGATGGGTTCCAGTCTCTGTGATAGCTGAAAGCCTTTCTGCATTCAGTCTATAAGGAAAAAGAAGCACAAGCCCTTCTGTAGTTCCTCTTGTTTCAGAGATGTGCTACCATGTACTTGAGAACCACAACAAATGACCTGTGTGTCCATCTCAGGAGCTACAGCAATAGATTAGAATCATAAAATCATAGACTGGTTTGGGTTGGAAGGGACCTTTCAAGGTCGTCTAGTCCAACCTCCCCGCAGTGAGCAGGGACATCTCCAACTTGATCACTTTGCTCAGAACCCTGTCCAACCTGACCTTGAATGTTTCCAGGGATGGGTCATCTACCACCTCTCTGGGAAACCTGTGCCAGTGTTTCACCACCCTCACTGTAAAAAGTCTTCCTTGCATCTAGTCTGAATCTACCCTCTTTTAGTTTAAAACCATTACCCCTTGTCCTGTCACTACAGGCCCTGTTAAAAAGTCTGTCACCATCTTTCTTACAGGCCCCTTTCAAGTATTGAAAGGACACAATAAGGTCTCCCTCAAGCCTGCTCTTCTCCAGGCTGAACAACCCCAATTCTCTCAGCCTTTTTTCATAGGAAAGGTGTTCCATCCCTCTGATCCTTTTTGTGTTCCTCCTCTGGATCCACTCCAACAGGTCCATGTCCTTCTTGTACTGAGGACTCTACAGGTGGACACAGCGCTTCAGGTGGGGTCTCACCAGAGTGGTGTAGAGGGGCAGAATCCCCTCCATGGACCTGCTGGCTACGCTTCTTTTGATGTGGCCCAGACTACACTGGAGGTGCTGCAGAATATAGAGCATAGCCATCACATCCTCACAGAGCAAAAAATGTTTGGGAATAGAGGTAGGCACACGTTATTACTGTGGTGAAATAACAGGGAGCGTCTACAAATAGCTATGACTATTTAGTAATGGCTCTGTAGTTTGGGAAGTCTTGATGGCCTTAATGTATAACACTAATGCATAGTTCTTCAGCCATGAACATACAAAAACCAAACAGAGAACACTCTCATGCTGGTAAGCCTGTTTCCTCCTCTTGTCCTCATCTTGCCTTTTGTACTAAATGAAATGATGGGTACAAAGATGGAGGTGGCAGCAGCAAATGCTCCTTTATACAGGACTTTAATCTTATTCAATTGCTTTAAGCTACTTAAATCAGCTCTCCTACCTTAGTAGAAAGAAGACTCTAGTCATAGCATTTAATTCCACTGACCCCATGAAAGACCCAGTTCACATTTGACTCCTAGAGAATAATTTATAATAATGATGCATTTTGTTTCCAAACATACATAATGAGTCAGTTTTTACCTGAGTCTTCCATCCTCTGCTGCAGCTCCTCCTGGTATAATCTTAGTAATGAATATTCCAGGGTCATCCCCAATGTGAGGGTTATCTGTTCCTCCAGCAATACTGAACCCCAGGCCGGAATTCCCCTGGAAAAAAAGAAAAAAAAAAAAAGTAAATGCATCACCAGATGTTAGATTTCTACCGAATTTATTTACAGTGCAGGAACAACGTATCCTTGGTTCTTAAAGAAAGTACTTTATTTGGCAACTCCATACTTGAAGGCAGGTGACTCAGTCAGAAAAAAGTAATAGCTAAAGAGCAGAGGCTGCAAACACAAAGATTTCCCAGAGTTAATGGCAGAGTTAATGGATGCTCCTACAGAAGCAGGATTTGACCTAAATTTAATTGTTTTTAAAAGCAGTAACATAAATTAGCTTCTGAACTCCAATAGGAATTTATCCAAGCCAATGAGAGCTAGAGGCTAAAAACACTTCAGAGCTTTGAAAAAAGACTTTAAATCCCGCTGTCATTTATAAACAGAAACACTGAATAATATTTAGCTTTGAAGTGTTTTAGTACACCATTTGCTGTTGAAAAGTGACCATTGCTCAGATTCACATCCTTTAAAAAAACCTAAATCCACAAAACAAGACTATTTCTTACATCTTACTGATTTGCTAAAATGAAATATTTGAAAGACACATTATGAGGGTCTACTCAATAATCCTACTTACTGCTTTTACTACTTGTGAGAATATCATGGAAGATAAATAGGCATGTACAGACATACAAACACTTGCAACTTAAGTCACTGTTTTTCACACACAATTCTAGCCCTTTTTTGGAAGTATGTTATTACGCTTTTCTGCATAAACTAACATTTATCAGATATATTCTTTTGAATAAACTCGGTGCAATACTCAATCATTTAAGCCCTTGCATCACAAAATATTTTTATAATTAGGTATGGCACCTCTCTTTTTTTTTTTTTATTTTCCTTTTTTAATTAAATCAAATCTCATTTTTGTGTTTTTGAACTGTGTTTCAATTAGTAGTTCAGGCGTGTAATGCATTTTGTGTGCAAAAGCCTGCATGTTGCCTGCCTGCAGCATGTCAAATTCTCTGTTCTGTTATCAGTATTCTACATTCACAAGCAATGCAGTTCTCATTACTCAAGAGATGTACGTGCAATCTGCAGCTCTGCTATCAGCATAAAACTGTGAATAAATTTTCAATACTGAACTAATTTACAATCTAAGGAGAAGGATTTAGGACTACACATATCTTAATGCTTCTCAGCTTGTTATAATATGAAAAACATTATAATACTGAAACACCCTGTATATATTTTCTGTAAAGTTAATAAATATCTCCAGGCCAGCATTAGAAATCTTTGATTTAATCTCCCTTTCATCATTAGGATGATTCATCTCAGATTCAGGTTATTTTCCCAAAATTCTAACACATGCCTAATTATACAGTGCACTGTACACCAACATGCACTCTAAAAATACTTTAAGATTATTTTCCTGCAAGTTTTTCTATTTGCCATATTGGTAATGATGCTAATCTTTCAACACATAACAATGAAAATATGTATGCTTATACACACTTCAGGGAGCCTGGAACAAAAGCCTTAAAACAGTATTAAAACCAATGACAAATTTCTAGAAAGTTTGAATAAGTAATACATTATTTTTAAGGAAAAAAAACCCAAAAAGGTTTGTTTTATTCTTAACTCCGAAGAGATTTAAAAAATATGCAGTAACCTGTGTTTCTGAACAGAGGTATATTTCCAAAT